TATTTTTCACATTTTTTCTCTTTAAATATTTCCACAATTCACCTAAAATTTGTAAATTGTAAATTTTTGGTCCACTATTTTTATAAAGTAATATTGAATTTTTTTTTTCTACAATTTCAAACCCCCTTGGCAAAAATCCTGGATCCGCCACTGCAACTACCCAACCTTATATGGTTCTAGGGCTGGGACTGGGTTGGGTCGGTCGATTACCAGCCTAAAAACCGACCCATCCGTCAAACCATTTTTGCTCAAATTTGAAAACCGTTGCCGACCCAACCTTTGTGGGTCGGTTGATGGTTGGCAACCGAATATTTGGTTCCGAAATGAGTCGGTTGATGGTTTATACCTGCCACCTAGTTCACTTAAAAAAAATTCAAATTTTGGAGTATAATATCCACATTTTGCGTAATGCCACGGTGCTATCATCATTTATCAGTTCAAAATAATTAATAACAATTTAATGAAAAAATATAATTAGGAAATTCAAAGTAATTTCAAACATGCACAAGAGATTTAGTGGAGTTTTGCGGCTTTTTGTTTAAGGTTTGGCATAAAGAAACTCGTTGAAGATTTAAGTCAATGTTTTTTCCTTCGTTGATTGTTTTAAAATTTAAAATAGTAATTATTTTGATAATTTCAATAACCACTTAAGAAAACACGGCATTTATTTTATATTTTTAATAAAATTTTAATAGTATAGTTGGATAACCGATAATTATCGGTCAACCAACTTTTGACAATATTAGAAACTACCAACCAACCCATTATAGATGGGTTTGTTGAAATTTCCAACCTGATCCAATGGGTCGGTTAAAAATTGATTATCCGTCTAAAAATATGGTCGGTAATGGGTCGGTTGGTGGATAAAAACCAACCCAGTCGCAGCCCTATATGGTTCAATAATTCCTCAGGGTGCTCTATAAATAATGTGAAATTCCCTTGCTTTAACTCTCACCATCTCTCTCTCTCTTTCTCTCTCTCTCTCTCTCTCTCTCTCTCTCTAGAAATCATCAATGGCGGCTAACTCGAGTTTGTCATCTCCGATGGACCCTCTCGCGAGAGAGAAAAACGCTAGGGGAATTCAGTTGATCGAAGATATGACCAGAAATGCAGATACTGTACAAAAGAATTTCTTGTCTGAAATCCTGACTCGAAATTCCGACACCGAATATCTCAAGAAATTCAACCTCAACGGAGCCACCGATCAGGAAACATTCAAATCTAAAATCCCGATAATCACTTATGATGATATCGAGCCGTTTGTCAGGCGAATAGCCGACGGCGATCGCTCTCCCATTTTATCTTCTCTCCCCATCTCCGAATTCATTTTCAGGTTACTAACTAACTAACTAACTAACTAACTATATATAATATTATTATTCGAAATTTCGAATAATCGTAGAAATTATAAAATTGAGATAATTTGGTTTATTTACGTTTTGGCCCTCATGCAGTTCCGGAACTTCATCGGGTGAACCGAAGCTCATTCCATCTGGCCGAGAAGAATCGAATCGTCGTCACCTTCTGTTCAGTCTTATGACGTCTATTATCAACTTGTAAGTATACAAAATGAGGGCAAATTAAACTAAAATCAAAATAAAATATTGGACCAAATCTCACGTGATAAGTTAACTTAATTGCGTAGTGTAATATCCTTCTATGTTATTTTTCTTGCACGAAATTTACTTTTTTCGTTAATAAGCCATTAATTGTAAGAAGGAATTTCATGCACGTTTATTGTAACAAAGGGAAATTTGGTATATATATTTTTTTACAATACAATGACAATTTATTACAAGAATGATTTAGTAGAGTGAAAGTCAGAATAAAATTTAAATTTTTCGGATTTAAAAAATTAATTTTACAACGAATTTTTTTTCTTTCACATTTTGATTTTTAAAATA